GTGGAACTACCTTGTAGTGAAGGAAGGTAACAAACAAAATTTTAGGAAGGATATTCCAAGGTGATAAGTGTTATGGAGAAAAATTAAGCATGAATGGAATATTTTTAAAAAGTACTCAGGGTAGGCTTTTCAGAAAAGGAGGACACTTGAACACAGACGTGAAGGATTCATGAAATAGACATGAGAATTAGGTGGGTTGGAATAGATACTGGCTGACTGGGAAGGTAAAGGAGTTTGGAGACTTGTCTATTCTTCATTCATTCCACAAACATTCATTTGAGCACCTACAGTGTGCCAGGCATTGCTCTTGGGCATTGGCAATGGAGTGCTAAGTATGACAAGCATGATTAGTTCTCAAGTGGCTCAAAAGGGGGAGGGCAACAATATATAAGCAAATAAATACAGATAAATGACATTGCCACATTAATAGCCCTCTCGAAAAAAATTTTTTAAGTTTATTTGTTTTGAAAGAGAGAAAGCGTGTGGACGGGGTAAGGGGAGAGAGGGAGAGAGGGAGAGAATCCCAAGCAGGTTCCATGCTGTCAGCACAGAACCAGTCGCCAGGCTAAATCTCAACCATGAGATCGTGACCTGAGGTGAAATCAAGAGCTGGCCACTAAACTGACTGAGCCACCCAAGCGCCCCGCCCTCTCAAATTTAAATATCCAAAGCTAAGCTTCTGATCTTCCCAAACCTGATCACCCCACAGTCATCCCCATCCATCACAGTTCATGGCACCTGCAGTCTTCCAGCTCTGCAGGCCACAAACCTTGCATTCATCCTTGCCTCCTCTTTGTCTTCACACCCTACATCCAGTTCAGGAAATTCTGTCAGTTCTATCTTAAAAGTATATACAGGGGCACCTGGGTGGCTCAGTTGGTTGAGCAACCGACTTCAGCTCAGGTCATGATGTCGCAGTTGGTGAGTTCAAGCCCCGGGTCGGGCTCTGTGCTGACAGCTCAGAGCCTGGAGCCTGCTTCCGATTCTGTGTCTCCCCCTCTCTCTATCCCTCCCCTGCTCATGTTGTCTGTCTCTCAATAATAAATAAACGCTAAAAAAAAAAATTTTTTTTAAGTATATACAAAATCCACCCATTCCTCCCCCCCCCCCCCCATGGCCCCACCCTAGTCCTGTCCACCCTTGCCTTGTCTTTCCTTGGACCACTGCACCGGCCTCTCATCCGCTTCCTGCTCCCCTTCCCGGTCCCCCAACCCCACTCTCTTTCCCACAGGAAGCCCAAGGGAGCCAGTTAACACCTGAGTCAAATCAAGTCTCTCCCTCCTCTGCTCAGAACCCCTCCTTGGTGCAACACTGAGTACAAGTCAAAGTCAAGGAAAGGAGGAAAGGCTGAAGAAGAAGTCTTCCCTGCCCTGGCCCAGCCCAGCCCCGCTTTTGAAACAAGAGACCCCGGGAGCTTCACAAGGTCTTCCCCATCTTGTCGGCATTTCCTCTCCCAGCTCACCTCCTTCTCTCCCTCTCAATCTCTGAGCTTCTGCCACACTGCTGACCTCTTTGGTGTTCCTCAAACATACCAGGCACGTTCCAGCCTCAGGCCTTTGTGCTGGATGATACCTTGTTACCACTGCCTGGAACACTGTTCCCAGTTACTGGATCCCTGGGGCTTACACAGCCTCCTCTCCTACAGGTCTGCAGAAGTATCACCTCCTCAGTGAGACCTTCCCTGACCACCTTAGTAAAATAGCATCCTACACCTTCCCTCCTTTGCTTTTCTTCCAGAGTACTGATCACCATTCAACATACCATTTGGCTTATTTACCGTGTTTATCTGTCTCCTTCCCAAGAACGTCAGCCCATGAGAGTGGGGATCTTTGGCCACTGCTGTATCCCTAGTCTCTGAAGCAGCGTCTAGCACAAGACAGAAGCTTAATAAATCTTACGTGAATGAATGGATGGACTTAAAACCATGGTTAGGAGTTCAAATTTTATTGGAAATGCAATGGGAAGTTAAGGGAGGACCCTAAGCAGGGGATGGCTGGGATCCGCTACTGTTTACAGGATCCAGCAGCCACAGGAGGGGAACAGACTGTAGGTGGAGTAAACACAGGGAGACCAGCCAGGAGGCTGCCACAAAGGTCCAGGTGAGCAGGGACAGGGCCAGGGTCCTGGAGGAGGAGGGAGCTATGCAGGTGGGGCAGTGGAAGGATGTGGGAAAGTGGAGCTGACAGGGCTTACTGTCCTGAATTGGATGGGGGCAGGGGTGGCCATGAGAATGAGGGAAGAATCCAGACTCAAGATGGTTCCCAAGGTTTGGACGTGAGGGACAGGGGAGTGTGAACTTGATTGGATTCAGGGAAGGTAAGAAGGTAAGCATTCAAGTTTGACTAGAGCAGGAACTGGCCCGCAGTGTGAAAGGTCACAGTCAGCTACCGGGAATGGGGATGAGAAAACATGGCTCCTCCAGGTATGGGAGCCCACAGACTTCTCCCCACCTCTCTCAAAGTCACTGGAAGGCATCCAACGGCACGCAAAGGAAGCGGACAAGGCCCGGGCAGCAGCCCATGTTCCCAAGGGATGCCAGGATCTGGCCAAAGATCCAGGAGTGTTGGCTGTGACCTGGAGAACAAATCCAGAACTTTTATGCTGGGCCTAGTTGGCAGGGAGAGCCACTGGGGCTATGGGCCATCTGCCCCACCCTGCCTGCTTCCGACAGACACAGAAAAATCTTCCACACAAAGGGCTCAGAGTTGGAGTTTGGCCCGCCGTCAGTGAGGCTTAAAGGCTCCCTTTATTTATTGATAAATGTTATTTGTGACAACATTTTATGTTTTTAGGTAAGCTCTATGCTCAACATGGGGCTTGAACTCACGACCCCAAGATCAAGAGTCGCGGGCTATGCCGACGGAGCCAGTCAGGTGCCCCTGATGTATTCCATCGTTAATTCTAGTTAGCGAGACAAGACGAAAAAGAGCTATGTCCTCTTAAGAGTGAGAGCACGCACAGATACTGGGGTGTCTAGAGGTGACTATGGAAGCAAATGAAATCACACCCCTAAGCCCAAGTGAGCATGACAGGTGTCAAGTGTATCATCTCTTAACTATACGCCAAACTGTTCTAAACTCCTCTAAAGCATTAACTCACAGCAACGACTTCAGTGGGTACTCTCCTTGGTTGTAAAACAAGCACAGGGAGGTTAACCAATATGCCCAAAAGGCGCTAGGCGGGGGTTTGAACCCAGGCAGTCTTTCTCTAGATCAAGTTCTTAGTTGCTCAAAGGATCCTCCTAGAGCAGAAGCGAGTAGACTAAGCAGGAAGGGATGTGCTTTCAAAAGAGGTAGAGGTCATTTCCTCTTCCTTGCGGAGCAGCCACAGTCAGTTGTGCAGGTTGTATTTTACACAAAGGCACCTGTCAAGTGGGTTGAGCGGGAGCCATACTCATCCAGCCGGGGTGCCTTTTGCTAACTCAAATAGCAGCCACTATGAACTGCCACCTCGTAGAGCTGGCTCTCAAGTCACTAGTTACAGAAGCACTCTTTGTCCCCAGGATTCGGGCACACCCTAGTTCCTGGCTCCTGCCCAGGTCTGGAACCCAGGGCAAAGGGTGTCCCACCCTACCCCGGCTCCCCAAGTCAGTGTCCTCAAAAGAATGATGGGTGTGCATGCAAGCAGAGGAGGGCTGAGAAGGGTGACAGCTGGGGCAGAGCCACTGCCCTCCCCACAGGCAAAGTTCACGCCTCATGGCTTACAAGAATGAAGCTGCCAGTCTACACCAGGGACTCGACATCTTAAGGCATTTCCTTTCCTCCACTTTCCCCCAAAGGCAGTCACTATAGCCTCCACCCCCTCTTCCTGCAGACAGCAGGCTCAGAGGGGAAGACACTTTCCCGAGGTCACTCTGCCAAGACTCTGAAATATTTCCTATGTAAAATAGGAATCATCAGCGCAGGTACACATCAAATAACATTGGCTAGGCCTCCTGGCTGGTGTAGGCTGGGACTGGGGGATGGGGTGGTAGGGCAGGGGGAGAATGGCCTAGACGAAAATCCCAATTCTTGTAATGTCTCTCTAAGAATGGTGAGGACTAGTTTGCAGCCTTGGAGACAAACTTTTTTAATGTTATTTTTTAGAGACAGGAGACAGAATGCAAATGAAGGAGGGAGGGAGGGAGGGAGGGAGAGAGAGGGAGAGAGAGGGAGGGAGGAAGAGAGAGAGAGAGGGAGAGAGAGAGAGAGAGAGAGAGAGAGAGAGAAATCTGAAGCAGATTCCAGGCTTTGAGCTGTCAGCAGAGCCCGACGTGGGGCTCGAACTCATGAACCATGAGATCATGACCTGAGCCAAGGCAGACATTTAACCAAGCCACCCAGGTGCCCCCAAACTCTTGATCTTAAATTAGCAATGACTCCTGTTTTCTAAGAGCCAAGAACAAGTTAGGCCCCGAAGAGAATGTTACTGGCAAGAGCTGATGGAACTCCCCAACTCGACACAAATGGGCGTCGTTCTTCCCCGTTCCCAGATGAGGAAACCGAGGAAAAGGGAGAGTCACCAAGCCAAGGACACGCAACGATCTGAGCAGTAGCCGGGATAGGAGGCCGACTGGATCCTCCTCCATTCAATCCTCCGGCTACTGAGGAGCCTCTGGCGCCTACACGTGAGACCAAAGGGCAAAGGTGGAGCCTCCCTTCACCGGGAAGCCGCTCCTGTTCACCTGGGTTTTCGAGAGGGCGGAAGAGCCCCACACCCAGCTGCAAGGCTAGACTCCTACATCCTCCTCACCTCCTCCTCCTCCTGGCTGACTCAGGGTCGCCTGCTCACTACTTGTGACCTGATAGGTCAGGAAGGTAGGGGTGGAAAGTCGATTGCCGGGGTGGGGCAGGGAAGGAAACCTGAAGAGGGAAGAGAGGAGCCCGAAGTCCCCAGGCCACTGGACAGGAGCCAGGGCGGAGGGGGCACCTGCACAGGGAGGGCAGAGGCCTGCTCCTGGGCTCCCTCTGGGGGGCGAGGGGCAGAGGCAGGAAGCCAAAGAGCAGGAGACAACAGGAATAAGAAGTCAATAAATCTTTATTAAGCGCCTGCCGAGTTACTGTGAGGAGGCCATGATGCTGGACACACCTGTTGAGGAGAGAAGGGGCAGCAGGTCAACGGGAAGAACGGGAGACCAACCTCCAGCCAGCAGCCATGACACCCACAATTCTGCAGGGGTGGCAGATCGCAAACCCCTTCTGGGCCCTGGTCACCTTCACAAGGCAGTTTGGTTTTTGTTTGTTTGTCTAAAGTAGTCTCTATGCCCAGCATGGGGCTTGAACTCATGACCCCGAGAGCTCATGCTCTACCTACTGGGCCAGCCAGGTGCCCCACAAAGGCAGTCGGGGCAGTAGTTAAAAATCGGGACCAAAGCAAGGAGACCCAAGCCCTCATCACAACTCTGCCTCATACCAGATGGGTGACCTCAGGCGAGTTAATTAAAACCAGTTTCCCCAACTGCATAAAGCACCCCCCCCACATACACACGCACAATCAGAGGGTTAAATGACGTGCTTAGAGCAACGCCTGGTACAAGCTGTTTGCTATTCTCACCACTCTCACAGTGACACTGACTATATACTACGTGCAAGACGCCGGAAACACCGGACTTCCAGCTCCTCACTGCAGAGCCCCTCGCTCCAGTGACTTCCCACCTGAGCCCCCACACAGGGGGCACCTCTCATTTAGAGTGAGGGGCCACAGTCCCTAAGCGCAGAGCTGACTTTCCACTCGATCATGCTCCTAAGTTAATACCAAATTAGCTGGTTTGTAACTGAGAAGGCATGCTGTACCAGGACATACCTTTAAAAACACCAGGTTCGTACCAAGGGACGGGGAGGAGACCCAAGGTGCAAGGGAGCAGCCCATCCCCGGCCCCAGGTTCTCGCTCAGACACATGTACTGAGCAGGTGAGAGCACTAACCTCACAGCTATTTCACTCTGTTCTCAGCTGAGGGATCTGTGGGGCCTGTGCTAGTTCAGCGTGTGTGTGACAGCGATGACCACGGCTGACGCGGCAGAGCTTTGCGAAGTGTTCACTTTGCCCTCATACCTCCGTGAGGTAGGTTATTATGATATTGTTCGGTACTTTACAGTAACAGCCCCTACCATTCAGGGTTCACGTGAGGACCGTATGACTTAGAAGTGTAAGGAACTATGTAGTATCTGTCATAATGACTGGTGCTCTGATCCCCACTTTTTAGATGAGAAAACTAAGGCACAGAGAGGTAAAATCACTTGCCCAAAGGCGCACAGCTAAGAAACAGAGAACCAAGATCTCCACCCAGCTACCCAGCTCCAGAACTGGCACTACCCCCAAGGACAGAGGGCCAACAGAACAGAGCCCCCGCGACCAGTAAAGGTGTGGAGACACCCTGCAAGGCCCGTCCAAGCCTTGGGGTGTCCCAAGGAAGGACACCCCCCCATCCCTCCCTCAGCAGGGAGGCCTGGAAAACAGGTCCATGGAGTCTGGCAGATGCAAATCTCCTGGCCCTGAACCAGAACGTAACCACCCAAGTCCCTGGGGGCCCTAGCCTTGGTCTATTGAAGGGCATCTCCTTAGCCCCACAGCCCGAGGCCTTGAGGCACCACTCACTGTCAAAGTCGATCTTCTCCACGATGTTCTTGGGCTTGATGCTCTCCTCCTGGCTACAGATAAATATCTGGCCCGACTCATCAGCGCTCCAGCCATATTTGCTCATCCACACCTTTAGCTGGCTGTCTGCAGGTGACACAGGTGGTGCAGGGGCTCAGTCACCCTGAGCCCACACTACTAGGCAGCCGAAGGCCAGGGCGCCCTCCCTGACCAACTCCCGGGCCGCCAGTGTCTCCTGCATTTCTATGGTTCATTCTCCAAACGGCAGCCAGAGGGAGCCTTTTAGCTTTCCAACCCTCACCTTACAGAGCTTTTGGCTAAACTTCTTTTATTTTCTATTTCTCTTTTCTCTCCCCAGGGCAAATCCTCTTGTCTAACAACAGTAGTGAGCTTCCTTCTCTGCTTTTCCACGCAACTTTGAAATGGTTCCAAAATTATGTCATCGCTGTCACTAACAATAAGCCCAGATCATCAGTTGGGAATTTCTTTGCAGTCCGGTTTTTGCCCTTAAAAAATACGCCAGTAAGGATGTTCAGCTAGAGGGTCCAGCTCCTTGAAGTCACTCTTTTGTGTGACTATTAGCGATTTGATACGGATTGATCTGCTTCTCTTTAGACTCAAGTCTGAAAGCAGTTTCATCCCTTTTTGACTTTTATCTTTTTAAGAGAGAGGAAGAGTGCACTCACGAGCAGAAGAGGGACAATCTTTTTTTTTTTTT